CAGACCCCACTCAACTCACCGTACCATCCGAAAAAAAAAAAAAAAAAAAAAAAAAAAAAACATGTCGACCAGAAAGTAAAAGTAAGTTGCTTCGAGTGCGCCCCCCCTCACCGGGAAAATTATCAAAACCACCACAACAAACAATCCAACCTTCGCATACGGGTTGTATGTAGTGCACCGTACTGTACATATCAATATTCCGACCAAAGAAAAAAACTGGTGCTGTGCATCCATCCATACATATATACACAACTCTGAAGGGTGAAGCGAAGCGAAGCAGAGTAGGTGTAGGTTACGCTGCGTGGGTATGGGGTACAGGTCACTACCTACCTAGTGCCTACTACCTTACCTACTACCTACTGTGCGTTACGAACAGTCAGTGACAGGGTTATGGTCTAGTCTAGGGTAGTAGAGTCAACGATAGGGGGCAGGGTAGTGCTGATGTCCATGGATGGCGGTACCTTCGTAGTAGCGGTTCCCCTGGGCTTCTTTGAGGCTGCGTACCGGATCTGGTGCCCGTATATTTTTTTTCCCCTGGGCTTGTGGGGGACAGTACCTTCTTCCCCTTCGCCTTCTTCGGATGGGGCTGTAGATCGGCTGATTGTCTGGTGGAGGAGGGGGGGGGGGGGTTTCATGGTGTCTCTGGGGTTGGCTTGAGCACCTCGTTGTGGTTGCCCGGTTCGAGAATAGACCTGAGCGTCATTGCCGAAGAGCTATCTCGGCTGTAGATACGGTACAGTACTCCTACCTGTCCGAATGCTAATCGAGCACTCAAAGCCGCAAGATACACAGTTCACATTCTTCATTCTTCATGCTCATTCAAGCTAAGTATGCTCGCTATACATTGTTTGCTTCATTCAATCACCCTTCTACCTGGGGGGGGGGGGGGGGAACAAGAAAAACACTAGACCTCCCGGACAAAAACGCTTCAAGCATTCTCGCTCAAGCATACTTCTCGCGCACCTCGGTCCACCCGGGCCGCAAGTCCGCCGTCTCCAGCTCGACCACACTCAACGAACTATCCGCAACGTAGTTCACGCGCCAGTCCACAGTCATCCCGGCGCCGGCCTCGGTCTGCGCCCACACCGCCACGGCGATGGTGTTCTCGCCGTTGTAGTCCAGCACGCCCGCGGGGACCGGGTAGACGACCTGGTTGCCGATGTAGGGGAAGTACCGGCCGTACTGGTAGCCGTTGACGAACAGCTGGGCGCGGTAGGCGTTGCTGGGAGCGTCGTCGGGGGTGCCGAGGACGAACGAGATGGAGACGTCCAGTCCCGTGGGGATGTGGAGGGGCACTGTGGTGCGGAAGAATTTGATGGTCGCGCCGGTGAACGACAAGGATGACGACGACGACGAGGACGAAGCAACAGTCCACTTGCTGTCGTCGAAGTCCGGAAGGTGCCAGCCGACACGCTCGGCGAAGAGGCCGTCTTCGTTGTAGACGCCGCGGACAGGGTCGAGGTTGGATTCTCCGCCCGCGGTGCCGGCAAGGCGCCAGTGGGAGAATTCGGGGGTGGTGGTGTTGGACAACAAGCGCGCTTCGAGGATGCCGCGGGGGTTGAGGACACCGGTGGTCTCGTCGTGGCCGGTGTCGTCGTGGACGACGAGCAGGACGTTCGGGGTGGTCTTTGGGTCGGAGGAGAGGTACTCGGCCGGGAAGGTGATGGTCTTGTTGGCTTGGGTGATGGTAGCGTTGCCGAGGTAGGAGCCGACGAAGTGGCCGTTCAACCAGGCGGAGAAGCCGCTATTTGGGGATTAGCTTATTACATTCTCTCTAGGCAGAAGGGGCTAAAGGGTGGAGGGGATAGTGGGAAAGCTTACAATGCGTCTCCACCTTGAATGTTGAGGAATACTCCGGAGGCGGAACTATTGAAGTATCCGCGGAACAGACGGATGCCGTTGTGGAAACCTGTATTCGTGATTAGTTGATATTCGTTCTGTAACAAGCTGAAGTGCTTACCGTAGTCATCACCGTACAGGACTGGAAGGGTAGCCGGGGGCTGGGGGTTGTAGGTCGTCATGTGGTCGGCCGCTTGAATCTCGTTAGTCTATAGCCTTAAACACCGGTGTAGAGTATACATACCAACCCAGGCAGCACCAGTATCATCATATGACACACTACGCTCAGGCAAGCTGTCGTTCGATCTCCAGGATGTCAAAGCTGGAAGAGTAATAGCCTTGGGAGCTGCCAAAGAGGCTCGCAGACTACCGTGGGCAGTCTTGGTCGACTTGATCTGCTTGCCGTTCCAGGTCAGGCTCTTGACCTTCGTGGAAGCGAAGACTTCAATCTCCGTAGCGTTGACCGCGTCACCCTTGATCTCAAGAGTGTTGCCATCTTCCTTGACCGAACGGACAAGGTAGGGACCTTGGATGAGTACTATCGGGAAGTTAGTATTCTGCAGATGATAAGCCGAAGTGAGATTTCCTACCTGTCTCGTTGGCAGGGGCCAAAGGATTCTCGGTCAAGGTAGGGGCCCAGAAGAGATAGGCTGCGGTCCGATCCAGAAGCACCACGCGCAGCTTGTTGTCGATGTTCAGCACACTCATTCCCGCAGACTGGGTGAAGCTGACGGTCAGACTGCCTCCCTGCCGCTTGAAGGTCGGCTGAGAGCATTTCGCACACTTCGAGAGAACAGATCCGGACTTGGCACCCTTCACGGCGAACTCTCCAGACTCGCCGGTCGGCACCCAGAGGACAAGAGTCGGCTCATTGTCGATGACCGAGTAGGTAAGCACTTCGGCCGTGGAGTACAGCAGAGTCTCCGAGCCGAGGTTGAAATCCGTGACGATGATCTTGGACTGATGTCCATCGATTCTGATTTTGCCTCCGTTGCGGGGAACAATCAAGTTTCCAGCTGACGTGTTGAGGTGCAGCTTGAAAGCTTCATTCGTGTCCGAGGTGGAATCCGCGTGCCGCGTCACGTAGAATGCAGCATTGGTCTCAGGGTTCCGGAGTTCGTAGGTCGTGATAAGGGAGTTGTCGGTGTACTGGGTTCCATTTCCAACCAGGTCCGTCATGGTTAAGTCGCCCGCACTGCGGGTGAACAGCGACAGCAGCTTGGTCTCGTAGTACTTTGAGCCAATTGAGCGATCCTCAGAGATGGGCGCGGAGTAGTCATAGCTGGTCGCGGTCACAGGCGTAGCAATTGAACCCCAGTTGGTTCCTCCGTACAGCATATACAAGCTCATGGCGGTGACCCGCTGCGCGATGTTCCAGCGGTAGAAGAGGTTGACAAAGTCCGCACCGGTATCGTCACCGCATCCACCTTCGGGGCCAGCCCATGGGTTGTAGGAGCCGCCCTGAAACTCGGGGAGGAACGAGGGCATGTGGGGTTGGAACTCTTGGAAGTAGGTATAGTATTCGACCAGCTGATAAGGAACATATGCGCCGTTGGTGGAGTCGCACACACTAGTATCGCATGACCAGCACTAAACAAGTCAGACTGGTAGAGAAATAAGTCTCTGAGATAATCACTTACAGAAGGGTAGGAGTCAACACCAGTAACGTCAACATTGCCTCCAGCATCAGACCAGTCACTGGACCAGGACTTTGCATTCATGTTGGGGTCATTGAAGGTCAAGGGAACTGTGATGCCATTGTCGCGTGCGCTTGCCTCGAGGAGCTCCATATAATCAATTGCAGTCTCATTGGGAACCCTCTGGCTTGGGTCGGTAAGCCATTGGTCACCATACTCGTTCTCGATCTGGTAGCAGATCGTGTTGTGGCCATTGGTGACCTGGTAGCGACTGGTGATCTGAGAAACCTCGTCGAAGTATGGCTTCCAGGCATCCGTATACCGCGAATCATTGTTCCGCAGGGTTCCGTATTCACCGGAGGTCAACCACAAGGGGAACCCACCAGCATTGGCTTCCGCGTTGACGTACGGTCCGGGACGAACGATGATGTACAGACCGAGCTCCTTCGCAAGATCGAAGATCGAGGTGATGTTGTGAGCACCGGTGGAGAAGTCAACCGTGTGGTTGTTTGGGGAATGGTATCCCCAGCTGGTGTAGATGGAGAACCCGGTGAAGCCAGCAGCTTTGATCTTCTCCAGAATATCCCTCCACAAGCCAGGAACGGGAATGCGCCAGTAGTGAAACTCGCCAGAGAACACAAAGACTCGCTGATCGTTCACATGGAAACTGTAATGATCCCATTGCACGTCGGTGGTCAGTCCATTGTTGAAGACTTCCCACCCCTCAGCAGTCTGATTCTGAGCAGTGGCCAGCAGACCTGAGTTTGCCAGCAAAAGAGATATTGGCAAGAGTAATCGCGCCATGGTTCAGACCATGCACCTGTCCGCGCGGGCAAGACAATGGCAAGGCAAAAAGAAAAATGTGCCTGGGAGGAAACATTTTCCTTGAACGGCCGCGACCAGGAGCCCTCAATTTATACCCCGTTCCCTAGCCAGGCAGGTAGGTACCCCACGTCACCAAAAGTTTTGCATCGTCAACCGGTCGGAAGCTACTAGACACCGGAATTGACTTTTGGCGTCGGTACTGACGAAAGACCGGAGCAGAGAGAGAAAAAAAAAGTGCCCGCGAGCTCAACTTGGTAAAAAGCTCAGCTCTGCTGGGGGAAACAGGAAAGAGGACCAAACGACCGAACGACCCGACATTGTCCACTGTACTCCACTGGTGGAGGCCGGAGACGGTAAGCGATTGGGCCCAAGCGAGGACATTTAATATGCAGTTGATTAGGTCGCTCATGCGATGCACTAGAGCCGTTGCGCGTCGACAAACTGGTAAATGAAGAGGCGCAGAGCTTCTCTGCCGCGTGCTTTAGAGCAAAAGGCGAGATGAGGGATGTGGGGAAAGGGACCAGGGTCTGAACCACCGCCGGTTCGTCATAGCCACCCAAGTCCGGCGGGGAGACGGCTGTGGGGAAGTTTAGCCTGGGGAGTTTTTCCTCCATTCATCGTCCACGCCCGGCCTGCGATTGCGCCGGAGACCGACTTCTCGAATAAGAGGGGAGGGGGCCGGTCATCTCTCTTGATTGAATGATTCATCTTGCCGACCTGGTCAAATTGTCTTATGATGTGTGGACCTGATCTGGAAGGATCAGCCTCGGTTCTGGTTCCAATTTTCCTTCCCATTGTGTGGAAATCACTCCATCGCAATCAATGCAGGTCAAATGACTGAGGACGACGATAGCATCGCTGCAGAAGACTGAGTCCGACTTCGACCGGATCATTGCCAATGATGGGCTCATCATGAGCGCTGAGAGCGAGTTATACTGGAAAGTTGAACAGGAGGGAGGGGGAACTCCGGCCTGGAGGCAGCGGGATTTGGACAAAACCGACGGAGGACTGCGTAGGCGGTGCCTCACATGACCGCCCTCATCTCAACTAAAAAACAGCAGAGGCACGACGATACGAGTACATTTCGAAAGTCCCTCCTTCTCAGACAACCCTGATGCTGATTTGTTGGTTCCATTGTTCTGATTTGATCTTGCTTATTTGATCAATAATAGCTATTCACTTTTCCGCATCCTACCCAGAGACTCCCAGTGACACAGAAAGCGCAAACCCACCTGCAAATGACGCCCCCAATATGTACACCAACCAAAAGAAAACATTGAACGGCAAAAGGACAAAAGTTGTTATAGACAGGAATAGCAAAGAGCTGCAGCCCAATCCACCATCGCAAATAAGACACGGGGCTGGAATAGTATACAACTGAGCGTGGGGAAAGTGCGAAAGCAGCCACCAGGGAACCAGCTTCCATACAGCCTTGGCGCAGCTTGCGGAGATTCATCGCGCCTGAGTCGATCGGGGCGCGATCGCTGATTCATCCTCGATGGCCTGCGTGGCCGGTCCAGAAATTCAGAGCGGCATGAATTCTGACAAGAGATAACCGCAAGGAAGAAATGGAGCTGAGATGAGTGATAACCTCGACAGAAGCTGAATCGGAGAGATTGCGCCATCTAGCTCGTGAGGCATTCTTCGGAGCGGGACTGTGATAAATGGTTTTTTCTCGAAGAGACATCAGGGCTCAAAGTCCCCGAACCTAGGCAGATCGATCCAGAACCTCGAACGGGTTGGAGTCCTTGGCATCGACAACAGGGGGGGCCTGCAATTCCTCCTTGGTGGTCTTCTTGGCGCCCTTCTTAGAGGAAACGGTCGAGAAGCCCTGGTCGGAATCCGCATCGCTGGACACAGCGCGGGCCTTCTGCTTGGCAGTGGTGGCACGTGTGCGAATGGGCGAGTTCTCGACAGCCGGCTTCTGCTGGGACTTGTTGTGCGATCGGAGCGCCTGGACGCGGTTGAGCGCCTCATCCTCGGTGCTCTCGCTGGTCTCTCCGTTCACCTCGACCGCCTTGCGGATTTCGCGGCTGACACCCTTCAAGGCATCCAAGCCAGCCTTCTCAGCGGCCTGAATGTTGCTGGGCTGGCGAGCGCCCGGCTCCTTGCGGTACAGATAAGACCGGACAAAGAAACGGGCGAAGAGGTAAGTCAAGGGGAGGAGGTACACAACGTTGAGCCAGATCGCGAAACCCTGTCCGGTGGTATCCATGCAAGTGACCATGGGACCAACACGGTGGGGTTGCACAGGAGCAGCAGCAGGGGTGTCAGGAACTCCCACGTTCTCGGCAGGGCCCTCCGCACCTGCGGCCCGGAAAGCCAGTTTCTTGATCCAAGGCACCAATCCCTCCTCCGCAGCTTCGGCAGCCACAAATTGAGCAGTCGAAATGGGAGCTTCGAAAGCAGCCTGGCTGGCTGGGAGGGTGTAACTGATGAAGAGATAGGACGCAGCCATGGCAGAACCAATGATGAACTGAGTAATCTGCATAGTAGTCAAGGACCTCTTGATCACGGTAGGGACACGGATACGCAGAGCAGTGATGGTATAGTAAGTGTACTGTGCAATGTGTCAGTCAGCGCTAAGTGGGCAACGCTGTGAAAACGGGTTTGGATTACGTACCATGAGAGCGTGAATACCGGAGTTAACCAAGGTGAAGATCCAGATGGGAGGCGCAACATAGCGGATTCCAGCCCACATGCACATCATGGCACCGGCATGGTGGTATGTCTGCAGCGTGGAGCTCTTCTTACCCTTGGCGAGGATGATCACGGTGTCCAAAACTTCATAGAACTTGGACAGATAGAAGATCCATCCAAGGAAGGCCAATCCCTCGTTCCACAGGCGGCCGACATCCGTGAAATCGGGCACGCCTGTCTCAGCCAGCTTGTATTCAGGGTTCCGAATGGTCCACTGCTCGACAGAAGGATTGTAGACAGCGGCATTGCCATAGCCGCGCGGGCCATTGACCTTGCACAGAGTGTCTGCGACGGCTGCGACGTAGTTGGGGTCATCGTGACTGGGCCACGAGTTGCGGAAGGCGCGGATCATGCCGGCGAAGGTCCATGCGGAATAGATAGCCAAGATGACATTGTGGAGGATCACGAAGAGCTTGAAGAGCCTCGTTTGACTGAAACCCCAGGGTTTGTAACCGCGACTCTTGTTAACCCGGTTCAACAAGATGACAGTGACGGCGTAGACACTGGCGATGGTGATGGGAACGCGCACGTCCAGGAGCTGGTTGTATAGTTCGGGAGAGATGTTGAAGGGCTGGTACCAGGTCGGCTCGGAGGTAATGGGCGCAGGCAGCGTAGCAGGAAGCTCACTGGGAGGGAATTGTAGAAGAGAAGAAGGAGGGAGTCCGAACCGGATGACAGCCGGGTTCGACTGGCCATCGACGGTGATGTCGACCATTGTGACGCAATCGGGCGCGGACAATGGTATATGGGTATGTATAGAGAGGCAGACGATGGTAGTGAGTTAAATACAAAGGGAGATATTGTAGTGCCTAAGTGAACAAAAGGGAGGAATTGAGCAGATAGTTATGCCCTAGTCACGTCCAATGACACCGATAATGGGGTAAACGGGGAAGCTTTTCTCAACAGTCCACGTCCTTGACCCCAAAAAAGGGAAGGAAGCCGGCTTTGGAAAAAAAAAAAAAAAAAAGTTCTAGTGGAAAACCACACCCGCAATACAATACCGCAATACCGCAAGAGCACAGGCGCCAATCACTCCGATAAGAGTTCGGATAAAGGATCAATTTTTTCCTTGTCGCATCAACCCTGTTAATCCTCGGGTTATGCAATGAGGGAAAGAGAATAGGGATTTAAGAAAGAGGAATGACGGAGGTTAACCAAGAAAAAAAAAATAAAAGAAAGATCGTCGTAGGCGCTTGGAAGGAAAGCAGAGGCAATTATCTCTTTTCAACGGGTGAAACTTGGGACTACTCAGAAACAGTCCAAGAGGTCAATAATATCCATTATCCAGTCACTGCGATCAATTCAACTTCCATTCATCGCAGCTCCGACCTGTCGCCGGACTGAGCCAAGCAGGATACCCAGATAAGGACAAATGGGAGCAACGACAAGAGCATTAAAGTGGAGCCATGATGCGTTTTGTTGGGAATTCGGTCGCCCTTCAAAGCCTCGGCCCAACAAAGGCAGGCAGACTCAAATGCGCAATAAATTTCTGGAGAGGTCCGGTATGCTTGTGACTGTGATTAACGCCGCTATCACACCTTATTCGGAACTCTGGGGTTGGTCCGGCCACTCCCTGGCAAGAGATTGTGGTCAGCCACCAAGGGATGCTTTTGTAGGTAGTTCGAGAAGGGGCTGAGAATGGAAGCTATCTTCATAGTACTGTGAGAGCCTAAGGCACCTGCCCGTTCCTGCATAGAAGAATCCTTTGCTTCTCCTCGTTCGAGTAGGGAGCCTTGGTTTACCAACCAGCTCAATTGGATAATTCTCTGACCATATAATGACGCCAATGGTGGCCAACATCCATGGCGTACTGTACATCAGGGTCCCGCATGTTCGCTCTCCCCGCAATCAAGCCATTGACGGATGAACAATAACATACTCATACAGTAACCACCGTTTCGAACCAAATGACATCAAGTAGACCTCATCGAGGAATAATGCGAGCCCCCAGAATTAGGCAGCCATGGCAAGCGGTGAGCAGCGGCAATATTCATTCTTTCGAACCTGAGTCAGCATGGCCCACCGACGTCATTGCCTCTCTTTTACTGGCTATACTCAATCGGATTAGTACCTGTAGTACTACACTTGGGCTACTCCAGCTTCTGTCATCCATGTTTCTCTCTAGCCTAAAACCTTATGTACAGTTGAATGTATAGAGAACGACTGATATCCAGCAATCGCCATGATTCGCTGAAGTACGTGTGCAGCAGTGCGAGCATCTCGCGCATAATAACAACCGGCTAATGTTACATAAAAATGATAGTCACCCTGTGCTCAGCGGGGTTTAGTGCTAAATGGAACAGGCGGCGGCGCAGAGCCTGTGCTATTAACAGGCGTTGATCGCATCCCCGCCTTCTTTGGAGGCGGCGGCGGCGGGGCCTTTCTTTGGCCCAGGGAGTCGACGCTCGATGAGGAACGATGTACAACCGGATGCGGGGGCACCGGGGGCACCTGAGCACTTGGGGACTTCTGGTCATCAAAGAACTTGTTGACCCGCTGCGAGATTCCATATTTCTCATTGAGCCCGTTTAGCTTTTGTTTGCCGGCATCGATCTTGTCGCTATGTCGCTCGCGGAAGTCGTTGACCGACGCAGAACCACTCCGGGCGTGGGTGGTAGACACAGGTGATGATTCGTTTGCGTAGGTACTTCCTCGTCGTGCTGGCGAAGGAGGTGCTGGGGAAGAGGATGTGGTTCTCAGCTGAGAAAAGCGAGCCTGGAGCTCATTTACTGGAGCTTGACCAACTGGGCCTGCAGTTGGTGGTGAAGCAGCGCCGGAACGACTGCTATCACTCTCGATGCCGAGAGCAGGCACTGAGATACCGGCTCGGGAGAGATTAGAAGTGGCATTCTGATTCAGGTATCCTTCGAGAGGTTTGGTGGTTGACGGCTGTGTGGAGTAGGCGGGAGGCGGAGTGGGCGGCTGCGAGGACAGCGTCGAGCTGGCCCGAGACGGAAGTCGAGGTGGAACGCTGGGTTTTGGCTTTGAGCTGGTAGATGTCACAGAGTCTGCCGGAGAGTCCACGCGCCTGACTGGGGGTGGCGGTAGGTTGGCGGTATCTAGTCCTGTCCGATTCACTCGATATGGTAGAGGAGGTGCTGCTGGCTTCTGAGCCTCATCATTCCGAGCTTGCTCCTCCTCCTGTTGTCGTGCATGTTGTTGATTAATCTGGTCTTGAGATAAGGGGGCGCCCAAGCCTCTCCGGTCCGGTGTGAGTTCGTTCGGGAGCGCTCCGGCGCCGTGGTACTTGATGTGCTTCGGCGGTGGTCCAAAAGAGGCAGGATCCTTCAAGGATGAGAGTGGTACGGCGACATGCTCTTCACGCTCATCCTTGTCCTTTCCTTTGCCCATCCATCCGGCCTGGTTGTTGGAGAAGTTGGTCAGCACTAAGCTCAACTGCGTCATCGGGAGCAGACACGAACCACTTGATTGATGCCTTTGAAATCATTCCTCCAACCTTCCTTCTTCCCATCTCGACCTTTAGGATGCCAGCCCTCTTTCATAACCCCTCTGAAGCCGCTCATATCGACTAGTAAATGTAGAACTGATAGTGTCTATGGTAACCTAGGCAGAAGACACGCCGATCAAATGGCAGCGGTGGTTGATAAGAGCCAGACGGATGCGGTCGGGGGCGGAGCGGAACCCATCCCACGCCTGTCCGCATTCGGCTAGTGATAACCTTCCCGCACTATTTTGGAGTCGGTCACAGTCACGTGATTGTATACTCAGTTAGTCTGCTTTGTACGAAGCGAACAGTGTACAGATATGGCAAAGGGAATGCCATGAAAGGAGGCAGAGAATGAGAGACGGAACGAATGCTACTTCCTTACAGAGCTCCCACTAGTATCTATATAAGAGGGCCCAAGATACTACAGTTACGGCAAGCAGGTTCCGGGAAAGCTCATAGTACCACATATCACACACCCTTGCAATGATCGTAAAAGATTTAGTCTAGTCAGAGATACTCGTATATCGAGACAAGTCACAACTTACAGGGGAACAGAGTCTCACATTGTGATGACGACAACAGACGATCTTTGTTAGTAAGAAGTTACCAGTATGTCGAATCTAAGCTGGAGGAAGCGCTAGGAAAATATATTCCGCGTGGGCCTAGCGCCAGCGAAAGCCCCTCCAAGATAGAACCAAAATATGATTCATCGTCATTTTCACTTCCATTTCGTAGGGCAGAGGAGACCCGAATTCCTTCTCGAAGTCCCGCATGTGACAAGGCTCTATTTGTAATCGCAATGATCAGCCACCAAGCGGGGTACATGTATATAACTGACTTGTACCTCCTGAGTGAGTGGAGGATGTTCATTGTACGCCACAGAAACTAGAACGCCAATTGACCATGACGCAGACCAAACTACTTTTGACAGGAGCGACAGGATTTATGTACGTCTCATCTTGAAGGAGCGTGATATGAAACGCTAACGCGATCCTTGCAGTGGAGGGACTGTACTGCATCAGTTACTCCAATTGGCCGAGACTCAACCCGCGAAGCTATCCATCACGGCTATTGTACGTCGCTCAGAGCAAGCAGATCTCTTGGCTAGCAAGGGGGTTCAAACGACCCTTGTGTCTGGTCTTGATGATGCAGATGGACTAGCACGAGCGGCGAGCAGCCACGATATCGTTGTCAATGTTGCGACCGGCTTCCATGTTGCTGCCACCAAGGCACTCATACAGGGTCTCAGCAAGAGACGTGAGCAAACAGGTCAAGATGTTCACTTCCTTCATGTGAGTAGCTGTGCTTGCTGCTATCCATAAGGGTATCCTAGGAAAGCATTTTGACAGAGTAATCTTGGAAACCCTCAGCTATCGGGAACAACCTGCGTATCCGTCCCATCTATCACGCCGTCCTCATTCGAGTTGCGAACATTTTCCGATCAGGATGATAATATATTCGAATATGAGCAAACGCGCGACTCTCAAGAAGCCTACGCACAGAGGACGGCCGAGGTTACAGCCATACAGACGAGTGAAAGCTTGGTAGTCAAGGCGTACGTCGTCATGCCCCCACTCGTCTATGGCCGGGGAAGCGGGTGGTTCAAAGACCAATCACACCAAATCCCCACACTGATCAGGAACGCAATTGCATCTGGCTACGCAGAACATGTCGACACTGGCGAAGCGAAGCTAGGCCATGTCCATGTAGAGGACCTGGCTCGTCTCTATGTCACGTTAGTGGCGAGGATTCTGTCCGGCGAAGAAATCCCCTTTGGCCGGAATGGCTACTACTTCGCCAACACTGGGTCTCACAAGTGGGTTGATGTGACAAGCCGGATAGGCAAGGCAGGGTATGACTTGGGCGTCTTGAAATCAGCTAGCCCTAGATCGATAAGCCTTAAGGATGCTGCAGAGAAACTGGCCGATGGAGACGTGGGTTATGCGGAAGCGTGCTTTGCTTCTAAGTGAGATGCAATTCCTCATCCCCATCCTGAACAAGATCTGACGGAACAAATAGCTCTAGTACTAGACCCGACAAAGCTTTTGCGATTGGATGGAAGCCCTTGAAGACCGAGCACGACTGGGAGCACTCCATCAAATCGACCTTCGAGGATATATTGCAGGAACAATAAAGGGCCTGGGTATGATGTGCTCACGCCGAACAGCGCGCCTCGACTCGAGCCAAAGCTCAGGAAGCTACTTGACGACCGTATTGGAAGGCTTCGCGCCGCTGCGCCGCTCGGAACTGGGTCATGCACCCGGGATTTGTTTTAGGTGAATTCACCAAGTAGTGGGTGAATGTGGATATTGTCCTTCAGCATGCAAAGCTTATCCATTTGACCCCACTTGTCCACTGGGAACAAGGGGTAGGGGTGCTGGGGGCATTCCCTATTATCAATGCTAGCACTGGCTTTGCGACAGGGTTCAGGGCTCGTACACTTGTCGATGCTGGAAAATCTAGGGATGTGCAAGCTATGGCGTGATTTGTACTGTACAAGATCAGATATGAATCAACCCCAAAGAAGAGAAACAATTGCCGAGGGGGAATTACCGGCGCATGATCGTACTGCACGTTGAGCCAAGATTTGCAGCAAACTAGTCACTGAGGATCACCGTGATGATCACAATTCACAGAGAAAAGTGACAGGAGACGTCGATCGATGTATGGGTAGCTGTCTGGCGCCCACAACGTGAGGCGGAGATTCAAGGGGTTAGACAGGTGGAATGCAGTGGGATCTTAAAAAGGTCACATATAGGCCTCGGCTCAAGCTTTGTGGTGTCCCATCCATGTGGTGAAACGCTCGGGACTACCCAAGAAACGGTCGATCATGATTTACAGGGAATTGAGGGGGGAGAGAAGGCAAGTAAAGCTCCGATATTTTGAATTGTTCCAATAAAAGGGGGGATTAAGCTTTGTCTGGGTGAAAGAACTGTGCTGCCTCGATGCGGATCATGGATTCATGGGATATGAAGGTTCCTTAATTTGCCTGGGCTGTCTGTCATAGAAAGATTAGGCAGTCGGTCCGGTCGGAGTTGTTTTGGCTGATTTGTCTTCCCGCTCGGCTTCTGGAAGCATGCAGCCATCGCCATTCCCTGCCACTTTACAATCCGATGAACCTCATCCCTCAAGCCAAGAACAACCTACGATTTACTGGGTCCAATCCTGAGCAGATAGTCATCTGACGGGCACGTTCAGCTTTCAGATTATTGTACAGCTCTATATCCAATTATAACCTCCCTACAACCAACAGCCCGGTCGGAAAAGAGACCACCCATCGGAAGTACTGCCACATAGTACTTAGGTTGCTTTCGATCATTACTGAGCACGATTCCATTCGTCGAGTCGAACCAAGCTCGAACTCATATTCCTAAAGCTCTGACACTGGCTCATGAACAATGTATTGTCATCCCCTACCACATCAAATAGCTTATCACAAATTGCCGGCAGGTTCGACGGAGTGCATACGTCAACTGCTCTATCGGTGGCTGGCTTTAAAACTAGATGCCCCAAGTCAATTCGTTGACCCAGCAAACCATCACACCGCTTGATACTTATCGGCGTCTATTAAGCACCATCAAAGCTCTGTTTGGGAATCTCTCCGTGGTTAGCGGGTCTCTTGCAACCCTGTCTCATATGGCAGAAACATGCTTGATCGAATAGCGCACGGATTACCGCACTGCCTGGAAATCTGTCATCAGGCCACCGATATTCCCACGTGCCAACCGGGGAATTCGAGTCAGAAAAACGTGGGATTTTTGGGGGCGTGAGGATCGCACAGTGCCAACCTTGCAAGGATGCATCTACAGGGAGAGCTCTTGCGTTACCGGGGGAGGTTGAAGTGCATGTAAGAACTAAGCTGGGGCCGGAAGGCTATGTTGGCGTCCTCTCGGACAGACCGAACTGCTGCACTGACTTCGTCTTTCAAGGTTCATCGAAGACATATGGAACCGATCCTTTAAAAAGTCTTAACAAAATATCGGGGCTTCTCCTTTCTTCTACTGAGTCAGTTCGGGGCACAGTGGATGGAAACAATTAATCTCTGGCAGTTAGTGCGCCGTTCCGCGACAAAATACGTGCTCCGTTGAAAAGTGACCGACCGGGTGGAAATCTGCCTGTCAAAGCGCCCCCACCCGCTTTCGACCATGCTAAGAACCAGAGGACTGCCTTTGGCCCCCCGTGATGAATATACGATCCGCACTATGGAAGCTCACAGGCTGGATCGCTTGTGCGTCTTCTAGAATGTCTATCTTGCAGAGGAACAGAAAAGCAAAACAGCCCCAGGGTTACTGTAAGATTGCATCATGGGTTAGGGCTAGGCTCGCCCACCATGCTTTGGGCCATGTGGTTCGGTCTCTATATTAACGGCCAGTTCACTTGGCCCCTGATCGATGGATCAAGGAACAAAAGCTAGTCGGACCCCCGGATTGTCCCACTGTCCTCATAAACTTGAGCATTGCTCATCCCACGATGCTTGTGGGCACGCTCGATCGATAAAGGAGCTGGATATGTCGGATCTCGTCGGTCTGCCGCCAAAAGGCATCGACCTAACGGCCAATAATGAATCCAAAAATGACGCTATTGTCGCGACAATGTACACTTTGGCCTGTATCACAATCAGTGTCCGGTTGTTCTCCCGGTTAAAGGTGCAGCAGGCTCGCATAGGCCTGGATGATTGGCTGATTGTCGCAGCCCTGGTACAGTCCCAATGCTTTCTACTTCCTTGACCTCAACTGATCACTTGACATAGCTTTCTGGAACGGCAAATATGATTAGTGCTATAGTGGGTTCGTGGCTGTCATGTATTCCGAAGTGGTCAAATGCTAACTTTACGTAGGAGGCAAATACGGCGTCGGCAAGCACATCTGGGTAGTAAACATGGAAGATATCATCGCCATGGTGAAGGTCAGCAAAGCCTCCTGCCCTATAATGGAACAACTGACTGACTTGAAGACACTACTGTAGGTTCTGTTCGCCAATGTCCTTCTGTACGTGACCACTGTCACGCTCATCAAACTCTCGATCATCCTATCCTACCGGCGCATCTTCGGCATGAGGTGGACCATGTGGGCTTGTATAGTCCTAGCGCTTAGTTACTGGGTCGGCTGCACCGTTGCGTTTCTGGCGGCCTGTCAACCTGTCTCCTACTACTGGACCAAATACCTGAACCCGGAAGGGGGCAGCGAGAGATACAATCTATACGCGTTCTACATTGGCCACGCAGTCGCAAACATGGTCGGTGATATAGTCATCTTGCTGGTGCCTGTTCCTCTGGTGTGGAGGCTCCAACTCCGGCGATCACAGAAGATCCAGATCTTGAGTATCTTTCTCTTAGGCGGATTGTAAGTGTTTGCTTCTTCCATGTACCGTGCCACTCAAATGAGCACAGCTGACGATTTGCCCACCTGAAAGCGTCTGTGTGGCGAGCGCGATCCGGATCTACTACTTCACGTTTGTCAACAGCGCCGACGTGACCTGGATTCTTGGGGATGTCTTCATTTGGTCGAGCATTGAGCCCTCCATCGGCATTTTCTGCGCTTGTCTCCCTGTTCTGCAACCACTCTTCCGAACCATCCTCAACCGCATGCTGGGCACACCTGCTCCCGTCAAGCCCAAGCCACGCAGCACTGGCCCACCCAAGGCCGTCCGGTACGCGCCCAACATCCTCAGCAAGATCCAAGGTGGAGATGAAAGGATCGCACGTCGCGACGAGGAAGCCATGCTAACGACGACCTCCGCGCATTTTGAGCTCGACAGTATAGGTAAAGGCCGCCATAGCGATGAGGAGGCTGGCCCCATGGATCTCCTGTCCATCACGATACAGAAGGAGTTTCACGTCCGGGAAGAGCATCGGTAAGGTTGTTATGATGAGAAAAGAGAGCTATAGAGAGGGAGATACCCAGTACTTGGCTCAGATCCCGTGGTTATTATTGAGTATTTACTGTACATAATGTTTACTTCTGCACAGGGTTGGCGTTTTCTTTTGCGGCATCGGAGTAGGTATGGATAGCGGAGGTTTTGGTCTGTGAAGCTCTCACTCAGTTAGACATGCACAAAAATAATTATGACTTGGTTTACTTATAGACAGGTAGTTCTCTTTTTGTTTTCCGGATCTTTGGGAGTGAGCTGACAGGTCTACAACAACCAGAGTCTCACAAGAGGAAGAAACAATAGTGTCTGCAGGTTCAAGGTTGTCTGCACATCGGCCCGAAACACGATTCGGCTTTCAAGGTCCCGACTGTTGTCGGCATGCCGACATGCACGTTTTCTGTGGGTCCTGGGAGTCCATGCAAGACAACTGAACTGCCACGAGGTGAATACCGAGTACTTTCATATACTAACCCAAATCGGCCGTGTTTATGCGCATGCGATTGATATGGAAGGGAATGGTCGCTACCTACCTGGTAGTATTGCAACGCAGAGAGGTAGCCAGCTGTACAACACGCTTTTACTGTGCCTGTTTTCTTCGCCTTCACCTTTCCTGCCCATGCCCTCTTCTTGTTCCTTTTCCTCTGTGTACACATTCCTCCTGTCTTTACTTCTCGTGTCTATTTCGTCTTCCTGCACTTCTCCTCCAGTGCTCTGAAGTTCATCTGTGCATCCATCTCTTCTCACCTGTCCACCTTGTGACTGTGATGATAATCAAACAAGAGTCACAGACAGTTTATCTATCCCTTCAACTCATCAAACCACATCCCACTTACATTCCTGTAGCCTCAGCTCTGTTTCGCATTCCTCTTCCTCCTAAGAAACCCAGGGGTATCACCCCAACTTCCCACCAAACAAGATCAAGACCTTACCCCAGAAAGCCTCAACCTCATTTCCCCAACTCACAGCCCTCACCCTTCCCCTCTCCCCCAGGGCATCAAAATGCCAACCCCCAGACAAGCCAGACAAGCCAGACAGCCCCGCCGACCCAGACAACGTCGACAGCCCCGCCAACCCCGCCAATCTCGCCAACGCCAACGCCAACGCCAACGCCAACGCCTCCCCAACCTAAACCTAAAAGTAATCATGAACCCCCCGGGCCAGGCGCCGCTCGTCGAGCTCGCCCGGAAGTGCCAGAGGGAGCTGGACGTCCTCGCCGCGAGGTACGCCGACCGCGCGCCGCACGCCTTCCATGTCCACCGGGTGCAATTCGCGGCCTGGCTAGAGCACTGGTACGTGTTCGAGGCCGACCGCGTGGACATGGCGCTGGATTACCGGGTGCGCAACAAGCTCGAGGTGCGGGGTGTGCTGTTCACCCGGCTGGAGTCGATGATGCTGGGGATTCGGTCTTGTGAGTTCCCCGTGTTTCTGAAGGATTGGTATGTATAAGGGTTTTGGTATGGTAAGGGCATGGATGTGCTAATTGGGGACCGGGGTTTAGATCGGCGGAAGTTGAGAAAGGAGTTGAAGGTTGTTGGGGCTGTTGAAGCTCTGGAGGCTGCTGTCGCTGCTATGGGAGCAGATGAGGACGGTAAGGACGGTGGCAGCGGCGGTGGTGGTACAGGCTGGTAATCTTCTGAATTATCCGAAGAAAGAAAGGGTGAGGTTGAGCAAGACGGTGAGTCCAGCCAGGAAGAGTCTGAAAGTGAGTCGGACGAGGAGGAAGATATCGACGCCGAGTTCGCCGAAGCGCCGCGGCACCGTCAATCGGAGGACCCGTTCACCAACGCTCTGCGGCTCTGCCGCTACGAGCTCTGGCATCTCATCCGCAATCTGGACTGGGCCACGGATCTCCTCGCCCATTCCAGCATGTATGCGCCGAGCGTCCTGCTGCAGGACCACCCAGACTACAGCGTCCGCGACGAATGGGATCGGAACGTCAACGAGGAGTTCCAGATGGTGGTCCGCAGTGCGCTTCGACACCGCTGCGATGTCTATAACAAGGTGCTCAACGCCCGACTGGGGACCATGGTTGTCACTCGTCACAGGGCCCTCACCTATCACTCTCGCTTCCAGGCTGACTCGCCCATGCACGTCCTCCGCCAGAACATGAATCCCGCCACGTTCGTGATGGCCATGCGAGACGCACCGCACGAAGAGCACCCCCCTCGTCCCATTCTAGCCCCGGGCCAGGAGGAGTTCGAGTGTCCGTACTGCCGCTTCACGCTGCCAGCCGCTCGATACGTCTCGCACGATGCATGGAGGTGAGTTCCGTCCTTCATCCCCCTTGCTCTTCCCTAATCATCGTACCTGGCTGACACCCCAAGCACAAAGACAACGCGTCCTCACCGACCTCGAGCCCTACATGTGCATCTTCGACACCTGCACCGCAGAGATCAACACCTTCCGCACGCCGCAGCAATGGCTCTACCACATGGAAACCAGCCACTCCTCCTCAACCTGGACCTGCCGCGTGCCCCGCTGCCGCGGCCGCACCTTCTACCGCCAGGTTGCCTTCGAGCAAGACGGCATCAACGCGCACGGCTACACCTCCGCGGACCTCCAAACCATCAGCCACGAGTCCCGCCGCCCCCACCCAGCCATCTTCCGGCGCTGCCCGTTCTGCGGCCCGCGGCCCGGCGAAGACCCCCCGCGCAACGACGACGCCTACCCCGGCAACGTCGCCGCCTCTCACGCCGCGCACCGGCTGTACAACCACGTCGCCCGCCACCTGGAGGAGTTCGCCCTCCTGGCCATCCCGTACACCCCGCGGGAGCCCGTCGTCCCACCCTTGGAGGAGGATCGTGGAGACAGCGGATACAGCCGCCACATCCTGCCCATCCCGCGGGTGGCGGACCACGGGAACTGGGAGTGGACCTTCGCGGAGAACCTGCCCGCCTACAAGTACCGCCGCGACGTGTTTCCGGGCTCCTCGCGGTCGTCGGTGTCGGCGGCGTCGACGCCGTATTATCGGCCGGCGACGCCGGTGGACGGGCCGGATGTTTCGGATCTGGTGGATGTGGTGGGGAGTGAGGGTGCGGATGTGTCGATCTATGAGGAGGCGGGGCTGTTTGAGGGGGACGAGGATGGGGTGTTGGAGGGGTTCGATGAGTTTGTGGCTGGGGTGGTGGAGTCGTTTGGGTTGACTCGAGGAGACGGAGAGAGTTGAGCATTTGGGAAGCCTTGGGTGACTTGAGGGACTGGATATTTGATGCGAAGGTGGTGGTGGGTTTGTCATGTGTAAATGATCTGCGATACCATGTAAAGAGTACATACATACTCGGTTTGGTCTGCAATTCTCGACTTGATACTGTTTGTTCATCAGGTGAATCCAATGTGATTTATTGTCCGCAGAGTTTTGAGGGAATTGTGCCCCAAACCCGCCTGCTCGTTCTGACGTCGCCCACTCTCCCTCTTCCAGCTTATACCTCCTCCGTCCACTTGAATTCTGTCTCCTGCTCTACAGCACACACCACTACACTACGCTACACTACCCTACTCTATAGAATCAAACCTCCCACGCCCCCCACTTCCCCCTGCAACCCCCACCGACATCACCATGAACCACACACCCAACCGCCTCGCACTCCTCCACCTCCTCCACCTCCACCACCACCGCCAAACCAAACCCTCCCAATCCGCTCAAAACCAAACCCCACGCCCAAAGAACCCCCCTCCCCAGCCCCCGCAACAAACAACAACTGGTGGGTGGCCCTGGTAATCCTCATCCTCAACCCACCTCCAACTATTCCTCAACCTCAACCCCGACGAAACCCTCGTACGTCAACCCAACTCCAACCCCAAACAGCCACCAGCCACCCACTCCCCCCTTTCCCGTCCCCAAGACCCACGCGACGCAGCGCATCCCCAACACAACCCTCCAGCCCGAAACCATGCCAGAAGGCTGGTCATCCAACCCGGAGCGCCTGACGCAATTCACCGACCCCAGAAGACGGCGGGTGGGAGCTGGCCCGCGCGTGTGGGCTGGAGAATCCCCCGGTCATCATGCAAATGACGCTCGAGACGGGCGAGGAGATGGTGTATTTGTTTGAGAGCCGGGGGGGAGGGGGGGAACGGCCACTCTATCGGGGATGTGTTGGGGGATTGGTTGCTTTGGATTGTGCGGCCGCGTGCGCTGGGGCCTATTGTGGGGAGGATGGTTGTTGCCGGGGAGCGGGGGGTGAGGATGGTTTATAGTTTTGAGGGATAGCTTGAGGGGGGGGCAGGGGAGGTAGATCTTGGTCTTTGAACGGATAATGCTGGGTAGAGCTTCAAGATGCGGAGTAGTGAGTGAAAGCAGAACTTGGATGGTAGAAAATCTAGCTCTAAGGACAATTAAAACAATCTATCAACGCAATAACGAAATTAGACAAATTTCTTTTTACGTAGCAGTCAGTATATGCACGAGTTAAAACAGCTGCCCCTGGCCCCCTTATGTTGATGGAACCTCGCAACACCTTAAGCCGCACCAAGAACCGAAACAATTCCCTCAATCTCACTCGCAATCCCCGTCAAAAGACTATTTACCTCTTCTTCATCCAAAAGCCCCCCCTCGACCCGCACACCAAACCCAAGAGAGTCAGTCTTAGAATCAGGGCCAATATCAATATACAGATTCTCGTCAGGGAGGAAGGACGTGTCCAGAGCCGCCACCGACGTTGCCGTCTCAGCCAGGGGCTCCGATGGGATGAAATCCGTCGGAACGCCGATCTGCAACGGCAAGAACAGCTCGCCGCTCTCGTCTACCTCCGCATCCGCCGCCGTGTCGTTGGCTGACGGAACAGCATTTTGCATCCAAAGCAGGTTCACCCAAGCATTAAATAGATGGCCCCCGGTATGTTGGGCGCTGGACCAGGAGAGCACGTCTCGGAGCGAGCTCTGTTCGTAGGAGACACGTTCTGCGAGGGCCGACTGGATGGCTCGGGCCTGCTCCACAAGACCAACATCCTCGCCTGGCGTGACCTCGGGAACGCGGAATGGATTCACATTGAGACATGGGCCGGATAATTTGTCGATGTTGTCGAAGGACGCAGAACGACCTGTTTGATAGAGACCCATCGTGGGGGCCGAGACACCGGTAAGTCGAGCGATGCTGCGAGAAACCGCGAGGAGAACCACCGTTTGCAGGCTGATGCCTGCAGCCCGGCAAGTGCTTTCCAATCTCGACAAGCCCTTGACCTTTTCCCAGGCACCCACGAACAGTTGACCGGAGACCTCCTCTCCGCTGCTGTGGACTTTGTTGATTAGAGTAGGGGTGGCTGAGCCCACAGTTGACGACCAGTACGGCTTCTCATCGAGCTCACGAAGAGAGCCAAGCGAGAAATCCACGAAGGCCGGGAAGTCTGGATTGCTATTGAGCGCCTGGCCCCGATAAAGCTGGGCAAGCTCAGACACAAACATTGGCATAGTCCACGCATCGTACGCAGCATGATTGATGAGCACAAGGATACCATCGCGATCACTGGCCTTCAACAGCCGCAGACGAACAGGAGGCGTGGACAGCGAGGACGGAAGCAGCGCCTCTTCCCTGGCTTGGGCCTTGGCCGCTTCCGTGATAGGGCAGGAATATTCAATGACCTTGAACTTGCTTGTGTCACGCATCGCTTGCTTCAGGACAACCTGTACGGCCTCCGTTGCAGAGATCGCTGCAAAGCAGGTCCGCAGTATAGGATGTCTCTGTTGCAGCTGGAACCAAGCCTCCTCTAGCCTTGCGGCATCAACTCGCTCGACGCAAAAGTACGGCCAGGCAGGTTCGAACAGTTTTCTTCCGGACTTGAGCCAGCTGGCAAGGTGATAGTACTGCCCACCAAGGCACGGGAGAATCGCTTCGACCGAACTCTTCTCCAGCCTAAGTTGCTGAAGGACAGCTTTCTCGACCTGCTCGTAGTTCTGAATGAGGGAGCCCCGTGATTGCTTGCTCTTCTCCGAGACAGGTTGAATCCGTTGACTGATGCCACGAAGGGTGTTTCCTTGCAGTATGTCGGCAACGCCAGTTCTGAGTCCCTTGGCGCGACAGAGAGCGGCGATGCGAATGGCTGACAGGGAGTCCAGCCCAATGCTGAAGATGCTAGTGTTTGGTTTGATGTTGTCCACGGAAACACCAGCCACTTCTGCAAGCACGGATCGGACTATGTCTTCATGCACAGGCTTAGCGGAACCTTCGACTTCACGATCCTGCGACACATCCCGAGACAATTTCATGGGAAGATCACCAAGGCCCTCGGGCACAATCGTCGCACACCTCGTGGGGTGTTCGATGATATCACTGATGATCGCAGCATACTCGTCCAAGAGCTTATCGAGCGCGGTCTGGGTGAAATGTTTTCCACTGCAGGCAGCATTGACCACGAGGCCATGACTTGCATGATCCACCTCAATATTCAGTTTGTACTCCGCCTGTGCGGTGTAGTTGTCGTCCTCATATGGGGTCCAGATCGTCTGCTCATTGATAACACTGCCGGCGAAGTCCGCACTCTTCTGGAAGACAAAAAGAGTATCAAACAAAGCTGCTGAGGTCAGGGCATTGGACCGTCGGAGCGAGTTTTGCACAGTCCGCAAAGGCGCATTCTGGTGCATCTGTGCATCGGTTGTCAGTTGTTGCAGGCGGAGAGCCATTGCCTTGTTGGTCAAGAACTTTGGCTCGAAACTGACTCTCTGGGCCACAGTGTTAAATAGCGGTCCCAGGGTCTTCTCAGCTCCGGCCACTGACAGCGACCGCCCCGCTAGGACTTGTCCAAATACCACATCACGCTTCCCCATAAGATGAGCCAGCAATTTGGCGTAAGCCAAGAGAGACACGCTCTGAACTGTAACCTCCATTACTTTACAGGCCGCAATCACTGTAGATAGATCGACATTCAATAGTCGCTCGGAAGTATACACACAGTCGGCAGACTCGGAGGTAGGCAGCAGAGGAAGTTCAGAGATTTCATATCCCTGTAACCTTTGAGTCCAGAACTTAGAAGACTCGTCCTGTCCCTTTAGAATATGCTTGACTGTTTCCGAGAAATTGGGTCTCTCCGGCGCCGGATCACCATTGTAAATCATTGCCAAGTCTTCGAAGAAAAATGGAATAGAAGCACCATCGTAGAGCGCATGGTGCAAGACAATCACAAGGACCCTGCCCTCCGGCTGACTGACCAAGAAAGTCTTGAGAGGAGGAGTTTCAAAGCTAGATTCTTCGCGGAAAGAGTAAAAAGCCGCGATCTCCGACAGGACATTCGCGTCAGAGGGCAAGGTGATCTCTGCCCATTCAAGTGGTGGTTTGCTATGGACAACACCAATCCAGGAAGTTCCGAGCTCTTCGATCTGGTGGAATGAGGTGCGCAGGATATCATTTCTTTCAATTACCTGGATCAGAGCCTCTTTAAGGCGCGTGAGATCAACGGAATCGGCAAGCCTGACAGGATGCGGGTAGACATAGACCTGCCCGTCGGTGGCTAGGGTTTGAGTGATCATTCCCGACTGCAAAGGCGTGGTCTCGAACATCGCATTGATAAAGTCCTCCTTGTCCAGAAGGCGGGCGTATTGACCATAGACTGCAACGTCAATATTGTCACCTTGAACGCTTTCTGGGTCCTGATCTGGGACCCCATTGCTGGCAACGTCATCAATGTACTTGGCAAGTGCACCTATGCAGGAATATCGCATGACGTCCGACGAAGAGACGCTCAACCCCACCTCGCGAAGTCTGCGGGAGAATTGAATCGCCGTGACAGAGTCAATGCCAAGACTCAAGAATGATGCACCCTTCGTGACGTCCCCTGCTGTCAGTCCACAGAACTCCGCAGTGTGCACTCGAATCTGGGTTTCTATGGAGGACCAATTGGAGTTGTCCCATGCAACAAGAGGAGATTGTGTGCCCGGTGTGGAGGGCCGGGATAAGTTGAAATTGGCCAGAGAAAGACCCTCGCCAGACACCACACTCGATATCACGGCCTCCATCTTCTCCAAAAATACCTCTGCATCGTAGGGAGATCCAAACGACGACGAGAAGTTGCAGTGCAGTTGGATCGTGTCCGTTGCATGATTTGCCTCGACTTCAACTGCAAAAGGGTATTCTGCAGGCATGTGGCTGTCCAACTCCTGCCACAAGCAGTGTTTGGGAGGAGGTGTGGTGCGGATGTATGAGAAAAGGCAGTCAAACAGCGGTGCATCGGCCTCAATCCA